CATTCCAAATGGAGGAATGACATTAATAGTCTTTACAAATGATGCTAACTGGAGGGTGGAGACCATGTGACACAAGGAAACTATTTTGTATCCATGGCTCTATGAGACCCTGACATTGCAGAGAATAGAGCTTATTAAATGGATGGAAAATCCTTAACAAGGGAATGGGAACTTCTGTATTAATGATGACCCTGTAATATTTTCTGTGTCTGCCATAAAATCAAGCCCAATCCATTCACACCAGTTACCTAGGAAATGGCAGTTAGATGGAAACTAAATCATCATTTAATTTTTAAAGAAGCTTCACTTTGTGAATGCAGGTCCTTGCTTCTTTGTGATTAATTCCAGATCCCTATTGGCAAGCTCTCCTGTGTAATCTCCCAGAACAGCTGGGACATGATTGCATTGTCAATTATTAAATGTCCAAGTTCCCTGCAAGGCAGCATTTAATCATGAGGTACTCTAAAAAAAAAAAAAAAAGAGAGAGAGAGATAGAAGAGGAGAGATGGGAGGGGGAGTTGGGTGGGTGCGGAGGCTAGTTTCCATTCTTTCAACATTAAACCAAAGAGATTTGAAGTGCAGACAGCATACTGCAGTCCTTCCAAACAAGCTGCAAGACTGACCATGGCCAAGGTAAACTAGCTTCTCTCTCTTGTTGCTCAGAACTTACATTACATAATTATTTTGTATCTGATTCTTTTAAGAGGTGTGCCTGTCTCATCAATTTGTTACCTATGTTAAGCTTATGATAATTCTGAGTTTTTCCGTCAACCTATGTTGATGAAAGAGTTAGTGACACTTTGGCACTTATGTACTTCCTAATGATCTGAACCCGGGGAAGCCACTATTTGTCCCTTTCCTAGAGAGTAGAGTCACCTTGGCATGGGGTTTACCAGCATATGCAAAGATATAACTTTTCTTATAACTGCTGCTTCCTCTTGATAATCTTAAGAAAACCATTACAAAATTAGATTTGTTCTTCCAATTCAAGAGGTATGTGGATACTGGAGAGAAAAGGCATTTTGCGGGGAGAAAAAATATGTGATGGGGGCACTAAAGGTGTTGAAGATAATTCTTGAAAAGGCTCTTAAATGGATTCCCATTTGATTATCAAAATAATTCTTGAAGGAGTTTTTTTCTGTGTCTATCCTTGGTGAATACTCCTTCTGGGAGCGGCCCCTCTGAGCTTCATTCCAAGTTCTTTTTTATCCTTTGTTTCTCAAATCACTTATTTCTTAAATTAGTTGTCACCTTGGTGCTGTAAAGTGGTTGTACATAGTGTGAGGTGCATTATTCCTATTTCTGAATAACCTGCAGAACGATTTACAAATATGTGTAACTTGAAATGGATTGAGGATAGAGTTTAAAATCTGAAGTGATACGATAGTAAACAAATTTCCAAGTCATATAAGATTGAAAATAAAGTTGTTGAAAATGCAGAACTGCCTGTATCCTTAATTCAATCTTTATGTAAAGTAATGAAGATGGTTTACCTGGAAGTTTATTTCCTATTCGGGCAATGAATATAAAAATAATTAGAAAGGATAACTCCATGTTGAAAACATTCTTTTCTGGGGATGAGGGCAACATACGACTCCCATACCTATCAATATAAGATCTTTCTTCCTTCCAGATGCTGTAGTTTTTTGGTTGTTACCAAGGTCACCCAGAGTCTTGCACAGTCTGACAATTCTTAGTGGATTTAATTTGTTTTTTGCTATTTTTTTTTAAATCATATTAGTAGATTGCTTTCTAGAAACTGTGTTATCATACATTTTGCCTATTGGTTTTCTTATACATATGAACCTTGTATATTTCTTATTGCCATAAAATAATCTGCACTTTGTCTGTAGTATGCACTGTTTTAGTCTCTGTAAATTCTGAAGAACAAACTGTTATATTTCTAAGATAAAGTTCTCTGTTGAATGTAGAAAAATGTTAAGCTGGAGATGATGAAAGAGGCAGATTTATGAGCCTATCCTATTTAGCTATGGTTTCATTTACATCTCTTAAGCTAAGCAGATTTGGGTCTGATTAATTCTGATATGAGAGATCCCCTGGAAAGCTCAAGATGGTTTAAGAAGCATCTGTCAGCAACTAAATGTGGGCTTCTTTTCCATTCAGTATGTATTAATGCAATAGCATAAACTACTCCATAACACAAAGTGCAAGACCTGTCATATTTCTTTATTTTTCTAAATCAAATTAAATCTGGCTCCCAGCCACCACTCCCCAAAGTCCAAATATCTACTACTATTGGTCATTTTTTTCAACTAGCCCTTCTCTTCTCTGAGACTAAAAACAAGGTCAGTGGCTCCAGGCAGAGCCACATGGGCCACAGATCTTTCTGCTGCCACACACTGTGTCCCCACTGTGAATCAGGCTCCACTACGGCATCGAGCTGCGGTGATAACCCTCCAGGTTCCTTTCTACCCACCAAGGTCACCCTTTCTGTGGCTACCTGGCCACAACACTTGGTGTCTAGCCTTCGTGAGCACCACACAGCCACCTCCCATTTGAGATTCTATCATCTCAGTGGCAGTGGATGGAAGCTGGACCCAGACAACCACCTCTCAGAACCCATAGCTTCCTCTCCTCCCCAGACGTTTCAATAGCCTCACATCCCAGTTGGTCCCCTGCTCTCTTTTATCCTCAAGGCCCCAAAGCCTCCATCTGCATCCACTCCTTCTGCAGTAATCCAGTTTAACATTCATTGATACGACATGTCCACCTTTACTCCTCTCAGAGGACTCTATAATGCAGGGAAGAGGACACCAAAAACTCACATTGTTGCAATCACAAATACCTCAGCAAGTCAGTGCTGCTACCTTTCAACGTAGGCAAACCAAAAATAATTACCAGCAAGAACATTTAGACAGCTCCCAATTCTTTCTCTCGACCTGATATATACTAGTCTCAGTTTAATCACTCTCCGATTGAGATTCTGATGCTTACTCAGATCATCTTCAGTAAGCACTTTAGTATAAGAAGGTCCAGCTTAAATAAACATCATTGCTATGGTACCTACTCCAGGCCACTCCTGAAGCCGAGCTTCCACAGGGCTCCTTGGAGAAAACGCCCAGCAATTGGTTGTGCCCATCATGCTAGAGGAAACTGGCTTGAGCTTAGGGGACTGCAGGGAGGGATGTCCAGATCTCTAAGGAGGCTCTGAAATCAGTTCTCCACATGTTTGTCTGTTACAGATGGAGCTCCCGAAGGGCTTCTCTGGCCAACGGACATTCCTATCTGCCGTCCTCAACCTGCTATCACTCAGCCTCTCCACAGCATCCCTGCTCAGCAACTACTGGTTTGTGGGCACACAGAAGGTGCCCAAGCCCCTGTGCGGAAAAGGTCTGGCAACCAAGTGCTTTGACATGTCAATGCCCTTGGATGGGGGCAGCACCAACGCATCATCCCAGGAGGTGGTACAATACAGCTGGGAGACTGGGGATGACCGCTTCTCCTACCATACCTTCCGGAGTGGCATGTGGCTATCCTGTGAGGAAACTGTGGAAGAACCAGGTAGCCTCCTCCTGTCTGATTCTCACCCCCTCCCCCAAAGGGATCTTATGCAGGCAAAGAACCAGTGGGAAGTATACAGCACTCTCCCACACCACACTAGCCGCATCCCCAACCTCCGCATCTCCCACCTCTGTGTCGTGTCCCTTCTCCTTAGGACTCCCTTTCAATCAGGCCAAAAGCCCATCTGGCTTTTCACCTCTCATCTGTCTAGTGGACTTGCTGGTTTAAAATATCATTGCCCTTAAAGGGTTTCATTTAGACTTTCTTTCAACATTATGAGAATTTCCATCCTAGCAAACTAGAATTGCTGTTTAGAGACAAAACAAGGAGAGATGACTGTTACAGAAAAAGCCCTACTCTGCCCAGCTCTGACCTTATATGTATAACTTCATTTCTACAGGCCTTGATTTTCTCACTAATGAGATGGAAGAATCAGAGTAGGTCACCTTTAAAGTCCCTTCCTCCCCCTCCCTCTCAAAAAAGGTTTTCTCATTCTAAGTATTACTGTTATAATTTAAAAGGTAGGAGAACTGAAGCTCAGAAAGAGTAACTAGATCCTGTAAGGACATTTTCAGGGAGCTGAAAACAGACGCCCTCCCCTCCCCCCACTGCTCCCCACCCCCCACCCCCAGGCTCCTGCCGCTTGGTGCACACTCGCAAACTGGGCATTGTGCCAGCATGCATCAGTTAGCATGTAGTTCAGGATAGGAGCAATTGGACTAAGGCCACCCCCACCCCTTCTCTGCTCGAAGCATTCAGAGATCACCTGGTAGTGAAGTTTTTCTAAAGCCCAGAATCTTGGACAATTTGCAATCTGCTACTTCTCCGGATTTGGGCTAAGGAAAAAGAGGAGACAGAAGAGGAATATAAACGTGTGCGAATTTAAGTTATTATTGTGCCACTCAACGCAGCTCCAACCCCAGTCCCAGCAACAATTTAGAGCCATTCCTACCCGTGGAACAGCGGCAGCAAACAGTGTTGGTTAACGCTAGGTCATTCATCAACTAACTCTTCCTGACACAGGAACAGAAACAGTCCCTGTGTAGGCACTCTCAGGGAAACGTGGAATTCTTCACTATCAGGAATTTAGGAGACAGAAATTAATCCTGGTGACTTTCTCTGCCATTCATTCATCCATGCACTCCTAACTGCTTTCAAGAAGAGACATTTAGAGCCTGCCCTACTACATGCAGGGCAAGCACCATGTCGGAACAAACAGTGACACCAGGTATGGGAAAGGGGGAAGCGTTCCTCCCAGCTGTCCACGGAAGCACCTCCATGAAACCGGACCTTGTCTTTTTCAGGGGAGAGGTGCCGAAGCTTCACTGAACTCACACCACCAACCGAGAGAGGTGAGAAAGGACTACTGGAATTTGCCACGTTGCAAGGCCCACGTCACCCCACTCTCCGATTTGGAGGGAAGCGGTTAATGGAGAAGGCTTTCCTCCCCCACCTTCCCTTGGGGCTTGTGGCAAGTATGTGGGTTTGATAACAAATTTAGTTGTCATTGAGTCTGGGGCTTCTCTGGATCTAAATTGTTCTGTGATCTCCTGCTTTCTCTTCTTCTGAGCCCCACAGAGTGACACAAATTCCCTCTAGAGCTGACTTTCATTCATATGCAGGAATTCAAAAAAGGAACAGCGGGGACAAATTCGTAAATAGAAAACCACCAACAGCTCTAACCTACTCTTGTTGCCAAGTAACCATGTGGAAAAGCTTAGGTTTCTCCTTTTTGGCTCCAACAATTTTTTTTTTTTTTTTTTTTTGTAAAGTGAGAGAGAAGGAGGGAGGGAAGAAACAAAACTGATTGTCCAAAATGAAATAAGGAATAAGAGAAACAAAAATGATAAATAGCAATGTTATATCCCTGCAAGACTTTGTGAAAATTAGATTTCTTCTCAAATCTCCCTAACAGTATTTACAGTCAATCAAGTTTACTTGATTATGTATTGCATACTGAGCAGAGTGAGAGCTGTGGGGTGATAGCAAAGAACCCTAAATTAAGGAATGCTCCCACCTGGTTTCAGCTCTGTCTCATTCTCCCTTCTCTGATGCTGTGAGGCTTAGAGCTCTTCTAATAGGCATCATTTGTTCGCCATTTGTTCAGTTATTTAACTGGCAGAGTAAGAGTTCATCTTCCTCTGCTTTCCAACAGAGATCCTATGGTTATCATTGGGAGCCCAATTCGCCTACATTGGACTTGAACTCATTAGCTTCCTCCTGCTACTAATGGACTTGCTGTTGTTTACTGGGAACCCTGGCTGCGGGCTCAAGCTGAGCGCCTTCGCTGCTATCTCTTCCGTCCTGTCAGGTGAGCACCCCCAAAGCTGGACAGGGTGGGTGTCCTCTGCTGCCCCTGATGCACTAGCTGGCAGTCTCTGTCCAGAGGGGAGAAACGAGGAGCCCAAAGACAACATAAAGAATGGAGGTATGAGATACGTTACAGGTGTTTTTCATTTTAAATTGAAATAACGTGAAGCTTTATACTAGATCATTATGTACTTTGAAAAATGATGCATCTCTAGGGTTTTTTTTATTTCAAGTTTTCTCGATATGTTTGCTTTTCAGTTGTGACATACACATAGCTTCTTAAAACTGTTGGCTAAAGTAAGAGATGTATATATAAGATTAAGATTAAAGCTCACACTGGGGGTATGGGAGGAAAGAAAAGTGAGCAGCAGCCCTGGATGCAGAAACTTCCTCCAAAGCTCTAAACCTAAAGTCTGGGATAGCCTATTGCAAAGATAAGCATTCGAGAAGCCCCCATCACATATTAGTGTTCTGGAAATGTGGTGGCATATAGGTGGCAGAATGCCTCACTTGATGCAAAATGAGGAAGTTGCTCCAAGATCACGTTCCCTGTAGATGACAATGCTAGCCTTTCTCTAAGGGTGCCACCTTCCTGTTCCCTCTGTAGGCCTTCTGGGGATGGTGGCCCATATGATGTATTCACAAGTCTTCCAGGCGACTGCCAACTTGGGTCCAGAAGACTGGAGGCCACATGCTTGGAATTATGGCTGGGCATTCTAGTAAGTGCTTACCATCTCCTGAACTCTTTAGCCAATCTTCATTAGATTTGCTCCCCTCAACTAGATACTGGCTCCATGTCCTTCTGCCTTCCCTTCATCCCTCATCCCAGTGGCCTGTCAGTCAAAGAGAGGCCTGGACCATCAGGCCACACCCTTTCTTCCCCCACCTTCTGAGCTGGTACAGAGAGAATTCCTCTAAGCTTGTTTTGTGAGGCTGTTGTCCAGTTTTTCTGCTAGTACAGCTACAGCAATTACTTCTTCCCCTGATGAGTATGTTGCCTTTGGTAAATGAGACTGGTTTAGTATGGTTTATGGAAATGATGCTCTATATTTTATATATATGATTCGAAGCATTGGAGGACAGAGAAATAGAGAATTAACCTTGAAATGTGGATTGAATTCCATTCCCTGTGAACTGCTTATTACTCTTCTCCTATAACGGAAAGTAACTTCTTCCTACCTCTATTCCACCCAACTGTGTTAGAAATAAAACTTCCCTTACCAGTCATTCCCTAACCCTTAAAAAACTAAGGGGTCAGTTATTTTAGATTTCTCTTTAAAAAAAAAAAAAAAAAAGCAGCAACCATGGCAAAACTACAGGAAGGTAAACATCCTCTTTGTTTGAAAGCTCCTCACTTTCTCGCTTGAAGAACACTCTATTCTCCGACTTGGACTTATATAACTGTCTGGATAAGTACCAAGTACTTTAAAAGTGTGAAAAGACAGCACTGGGCTCAAGTTTCCACACTAAAAGAGGCTATATGGAAACCCATACGTGTCTATTATGAGATCCTATCCCTTTTCTAATGGTAGAATATGTGTTATTTGATTCAGGGGTCTTTGGTCTACTCTACCAGCTGCCACGTGAGTTGAGCTCATTTTCCAGACCCAAAATTTCTCACCTTTTGTCTGCCTTCAAGCCATCCTTGGCATTACCACGGCGAAGCTCAGACTATAAAAGTCCTTTAACCAGCTACCACCAGTACCACAGTACCCAGCCGGAGTCTACTTAGTCTGTCAGAGGCAGCAGACAGGAACATGCAGTCCCAGCATGTGGCCTAGCTTTCACCATCACTTGGCCTCATGAATTCCTTCACTAACCGCACACAACTTCCTGTTTCCTGGGCTTCCCAGAATCGTCGGGAAATTTAGGGGTTTGACTATCCAAGTTTTAGAACTGTGTTTGAGAAAGTTCTCTGGTATCCTTCCTTCTTTGTTGCGTCCATCCAGCTTCTCTTGCATCCACTATAAACTCCCTCAAGCTGAGAACATCGTTTTCATAATGGGCAGATTCCACTAGTGTAACTTACGATGCCTCCAGATTTATAGTAAAAGTTTCTTGAACTGCTCTCACAGACTCAACTCTGTGGGCCCTTAAGACTGCTAAGCTCAAAACAAAGGAAGATGGAGGATGACTCCAGCGTCTGAGTGAAGGGATGGCTCTGCTGGGGTGGCAGGGGGCTATTACATCGGACTGTGTCCATCGTATACACTGGAGCTGCAGGCCTAAGGAGATTATACAAGGGTAACTGCAGCTTGAAAAAGAGTAGTCAAAAAATTGCGTGCATGTGTTTATACATGCATACATATATATAATGTATGCATATATAAAATAGGTACACCAAGTATTAAAAAGCACGGCACTAACAATCAATTCAACTCCTAGTCTGACTTTAACACTACACAAGTCTCTCTTTTACCACAAATTGTCCAGAATGTGCCCTAAGCCAGACCAAATTCGGTTCTCTTGCCCACATACCTGCGATATGGTGGAAAGCCCCTAAATCCCTATGAGGCAGCAGTCTAGTTTATTAGTAGGAAGGAATCACAGCCTTTTTCTTGCAAACCTGTGAGAAAGATTCTTACTATCCAATTTTTCTGTATGTTTGTTTGTCCCTAGCACAGCCTGGGTTTCCTTCACCTGCTGCATGGCATCGGCTGTCACCACCTTCAACACATATACCAGGCTGGTGCTGGAGTTCAAGTGCAAGCACAGTAAGAGCTTCAAAGGAAACCTGAGCTGCCTACCACATCACCACCAGTGTTTCCTCCAGCAGCTGTCATGTGCGGCCCACCCGGGGGTTCCTTTAACCAGCTACCACCAGTACCACAGTCAGCCCATCCGCTCTGTCTCCGAAGGTGTCGACTTCTACGCAGAGCTACACAACAAGGGATTCCAACAAGGCACCAGCCAGGGGCTAAAAGAAGAGCTGGCTGGCTCATCTGTAGAGGAAGAACAGTGTTAGGAGTACGTGGGTTTGGAGAGCAGTCTGAGCCCTACTTTACATGTTTGTTATCAACATGTGCTTAAGCCAATGTCTGTTTCTTGAGCAAGGTTTTTAGAGGTTAAGAATAAGGGTACGTTAAAGAACAAGTCCGAAGGGGTGGTGCCAGGGTGCCACTGCTCCCTTTCCCTTCCCAGCTGTCTCCTTTCACCATCCCCCATGTCTCACGGGTTCAGAATGCCCTTCTCTCCTTGTTACGTGCCAAGTTCTGGGCTAAGCAATGGAGCTAAAAAGAGGAGTAACATGCAGTTCCTGCCCTTTAAGGGTTTATCGACCTGGTCATCTGTCTGGGATTTGGAGAAATAGAGGAGGGCAGCAAATCAACGGGAGGTGACTGTGGCTCAACTTCCCATGGAGCACTTGAATTTCCTGGAAGTCACAGAAGACGAAGGCACTGCCTATTACATGTCCTGCATCCACACAGAGGGTACCCAACGGAAATTTACGGGAAAATTATCTTAGAAGCCATTAGGAGACTAGTTTAGGTGAGAAGGCTCCTATCACATGCAGGGACAGGCCCACTCCCAGAAACGGCCCGCTAAGGCTGTTCAGATAGGACTATGGTTCCCCAGTAGAGAACCATAAGGGAGACTTCCCTAGTGAACAAAGCTGCGTATACACTTCTCTCTGGATCCCCACCTTCTTAACCATCCACTCGCCCTTTCTCTTTTCCACAAGGGAAAACAAACCATCCTGGATGGCTAAGAAGAATGAGAATGGCACACAAATGCGTTCCTATACATAGTATTTATTTGTTCTGTAACAATTCACATTTTAAATAGTACTTCCTGACAATATACCAGCTGGCTCTTCTTAAATATGGGCAATAAGGACAGCAATTCACATTGAAGGGCTTGGTATCACCATACCACACGAGAAGAGTGAATAGAAGCCATCTGGGGGATGGGGGAGGATGTGGTCTAGGATGGGGGTGGGGGGCAACGATTTGTAAGGGAAGGAGAGAGAGACTGGGAAGAGGAAGACCTCTGCATTCGCTAGTCTGCTATCATTACTATGTCTAGGTAGTTGTCATATTGCCTTTGCTGGAAACCTCATGCCAAGAATGGGGAAAGAAAGCAGCATACTTCCTATCTCAGCTATCTGCGTGGGTGGATGCCTGCAAGGAAAAGAAAGTACAAGGAAACACTGGACAAGAAACCAGCATCCACACTAGTCAGACGAAGCTTCCTCAGTCTTCAGCCACCTTTTACACCCTCTGCACTGGCTGCAAGAGGGAGAAGAAGCCTAACGCCTCTACTGTGATTAGCAAAGGGATTCAAACTTATCACAGTCAAAACAATCTATGTTAAGTTACTCTGCAAACACACCATGAAGAATTTAGGGACATTATGTTTTTCTAGCTTCCGCTTATGTATTTCTGGGACTCACCCAGCACAAACAGTCTTCTGTCCAAAACAATCCCTTCAAATCAGATCCTCAGAAAACAAATTTGCACTTTATTCCTGCCTAACGTGGCTACCTTCCGAGAAAGCCCCAACACGGTCGAGAACCAGGTTTAGGTCTAGATGGCTCGGCCCAGGCTGCAAGACCACGACCCCGGTTTTAGGTATTCAGTCAATTATAAATTAGTCCTCAGAACTCTCCACTAGTCCAAACTAGATTCTAGGCTCTTCAAACCTTAGAAGTGAATCTGGAATTATCCCCATGTTCTCAGATATCCTGTAACTGTTTTCCCCAAGTTTACAATAAGCTTGGCCCACGCACGCCTTCCAAAGTGTTGGAACCAAATGTGCTCTGAGGGGCTTAAGGCAGGGGGTGCCCGGACAGCTGGGAAGGCCAGTCTGCAGGCCAGGCAGCGTGCCCGCGTGGAGCTACCGCTACCACACTTCCACGAGGGCATAATCTTGCCGCTGAGGCAGTTCACACACATCCCTGTAATTTGGGATCTGTAATTTTCTGTAATCTCTAAATTTTCTGGAATCCCTTTATTAACACAAGCTAAAAAGATACAGGCTCAAGTAAAAAGAGAACCTGAGTTGCATTTGGGGATGAACTATCAGAATTATTCAAGAAGGAAAGCAGTTCTCTACCAGCTAACGAGGGATTTTCAGCTAAACAATGACCTAGAAGTTTAGTAGAAGAGAACATAATAGAAGTAATATATTTATATAGAAGGGAGAATCGTAGGAGAAAATTCTAAAGAACTTAACCAATTATAAAAGTTATAGTATTTACATGAGAATTTTTCTTCAATGCAATGCTTCAAAGGCTCTACAAGGAAGGAGACGTGCAGGGCAAAATGGCTGCACACTGGACCTGTGGAGCAGAAGTCCAGAAACAGCTTTGCTCTCGTCAAGCAAAGTAAAATATCCCTGAATAGAAGAGAGCAAAAGAGAACAATGGGAGGATGCCCAGTAGAAGATGCTAAGAGAGCAGAGCAGAGATGAAGCAGAGATAAGCATATCTGCCTCGGTCGTTCCCGACTTCTGGTTTTTCTCTAAGCTGAGGACAGTGTACACATGAGCACTTCTGGAGTTACTGCAGTAAAAAAGATGGCTGGCAGGACGACTGAAGACGTATGTAACATATGGACCTCGTCAGAGGTAGGTCACTGAAGCTATATTTTTCTTGCTCCCCTTCTGAGAGGAATATCATTATTCTTATGGTCACTAAATATATAGAAATAGAAAGTGTGAGAGAACAGGACACATCAGGCAGGGAAGAGATGAAAATGCTTGGATGGTGGTCTCGGTCTCCCAGCTCCGGTCTTTCTCACTGCTGCGAAGGCTGAGAAGAAGCTAAGGAACACGTGGGGAGAGAATAAGTAGAAAAATGATGAGTGACCCTCAAAATTAGAGGCAGGCCATCCGGAAGCCTCGAGATGATCAAACGAACCAAATGTATTTCAGAAGAACAAGAAACTGGGTCCCTGGAGCTTAAGAAATATCTAGAAAATATTCCATCGCAATGCTAAAAAATATACACAGGGCTTAACACAAAATTAAATGTTCCAGTGGAGAACTTCACTGAAATTTCCCAGCAAGAGTTTATAAATTAGACATACAAAAAATAAAACACTTACAAGATTCACATTTCCAAATTATCCACACAGAGTGCTTAGAGGGGGTTACTGCAGGGATTGAAAAGGTAGGTAAAATACCCCAGCCACGTGGTGCGTGCCGTGCCCAAAGAACTGCAGCACGCCTTCCACAGGGCTTTGCGACCACCACGCAGCAGTGGTGAGATGAGGATGACGACGTCTCCCTTCTCTCCAAAGAACTGAATTTACACTGGCAGGAGAGACACGCAGTCATTCTGTTCACTTCTGAGACCAAAGATTCCATCAGACGACCTGGGGGGAAAAGGTGCAACTATCAGCGGCTTTCATTTTTTCATGGTAGAGAAGTGGAAGAAACCTAAAGGTCAAGATATTCCTCTATTTTCCTGTCCTTTTGTATAATCCCAATGGCTTGTAAGTATCTCTCCAGAAAGGCTTAGACTTTTATCTTTTTCCATGTTAAGCTCTTAAATTTTGACCTAGACCACTGAATTGGGGAGGGGGCTGGAGCTTTAGCATTTTGAGCAAGATAATTCTTTGTTCTGTGTAACTGCCACAAGCCCTGCATGTTAGCATCACTAGCCCCTACTCAGAAAATACCATTAGTATCCATCCCTGACAGTCACTGGGACAATAAAAACCATGACCCCACATTTCCAAATGCCTGAAAACAACTGAGTAACATTTCTCAACAATCATGAAGCACCCTTAGAAAATAGCGCTCGTCCAAAACAACTGGTTCTTGGTACCCAGCTACTCGAGAAGACTCCCACTTTTCCTATTTTCTAAAGAGCAAAGCTGGGGTTGGTATTTGTCCTAAACCCTCAAAAGTAATCAAATACGTCTGTCAGAAGCTATTCACCTGCAAGGGAGAATCAACAAACTTTATCCTAGAGAGGAATCTTCGCAGTTCCCCCCGGCCGATTTTGGGGGTGGTCTCCTTTAGCTGGACCATTTGGCCCTCCATCAGTGCCCACCGCAGACTAAGCTTGCTGACCACCAGGGGTGCCGGATGGCCTTCGGAGCTTGGCTCCATTGTTCTGGTAACATAAAAGGCGTCTTTCCAGAGGTCATTAATTCCAACTGAGGAAGGACAAAAAAAAAGAGCAGTTAACAAGGGCAGAAAAATTCCACCAACAGGAGAGTGGTTTGATTCAGCAACTAGATTCATTCATTCCTTTATTCCTTCACTAATTGATACAAAGAAGTTTACTGAGCACCTAATACATGCCAGACACTGAGCTAGACAGTGTATCCATAGTGGTGAAGGACTGGATGCCGGCAAAGCAGCATATTCTTTTCAGTCTTCATACCTTTTTATCTCTGAAGCTGTTTCTAAGAAAGCCCCATATTGGGAAAGAAGAGGATATATCAACTATGGTGACCATTCAGTAGAAAAATGAGCACAACAAATGTTCTAAGAACTCCTAGAGTGTCAGTGCATGGTCACGTAAGCTATTCATTACCTCTTAGTGTTTATTTTGCCTCATCTTTAAACTAGGTGTTGTAATAAAGATGGTCTCGATTCTTAATTACCATTATTTAATGTTCACTGAATGACAATATTTTATGCTAATAATGAAAAATAGCTCATTTAGATCCAACCATGAGATTTTGCAAGCTGACATCTCCCGTATCCTGGCCCCTCACCACACACAAAGCCAGTGGACAGGTGTGCTTACAAGTTCCAGATCAGCTATTCTTCGCAATGTATCCCAATGAATTGAGTCACAAGCATTAGCTTCAACTTCAAGGCAAGTAAGTTTGTAAGGAGAAAGCAAGTCTTTGAATGGCAAGAGAATACGGAAAGAAGTAAAGGAAATGCAGTGGTCTGTTCTTCCTGTCCCTACCGGGGGAGGATGGGGGTCCTCCCCCGGCAGGGACAGGAGATTCCCTTAGACCAGCCCAAGGCAGCAGTGGCTAAGTTTCCAGGGCTTCGGTTTCCTGAATTACACGTCTCTAATCTAGGATCCCAATTTTCCTACATGATATGTATATGAAGTAGAAAAATACTTTTAAAATGTTAACAGTGGTGATGAATGGTAAGAGTACGGGCAATTTTTCTTTTTCCCTTTGATTTTTCTCCTGGCTGCCTTTTCTATGCAATAGGCATGTTTACTTTAACTTTTACTCGTCAAAGGAAAATCTCTACTGATCAAAAACCGATGCCCTGAGAAAACATTCCACCTCCATCATCTCCGTCACTGTCAGTTCTAAGTCCTGAGCAACTAAAGAGTCAAGAAACTACTCTTATTTGCATTCCTGGCCCCTGGCGCAGTGCCTGACATACAGCTGACACTCAGTAAACGCCTGCTGAGTGAGTGGCTGCATGAATCACTACCAGTCCTTTGGGAACAAGACTGAGCTTTCCCCTCAGCCTGCAGCATAGTCAGAAGATATGGGTCCTCACCCTGTGAGCCTGGAGCCCCTCCCAGAGGGAATACCCCGGCAATGGTCCCGGGCACCAGGGACACCAGAGAAAATCTGAGTGGCTCAGCGCACACGCCCTGCTGTCATCTGAAAGTACACGTCCTTCCCTTGGTAGGACAATGTATCCTCACACACAGCCAGCACATCTCCCGCCGCATGTGTATATACAGACCCCCACCGGCACTGGGACTGACCCTCTGAAGCCGTCACTGTGCCCGTGGCGTTGGCCAGATCCAGAAGAATCGAAGGGAATGTTGGATGCAGGAGGTAAAGGTGGTGAAGGCTGAATGGCTCAGTTCCTAGGATGGCATCCTGACAATGAGAAGCAGAAGGAAGAGCAAAAGTAACTCTGCATTCCCACACAATGGTCTTCAGATGAAAAGAGCAGAGGACACAGTGACTGCTACTTCCTCTCCGATACTAAGACCTGATATCAACTACAAGGATGTGTTAGAGAGAAACTCCCTATGTAAGAGACATATTTCGAAAAGCTCAGAACTCTGACTAATCTTCAAACTCTAACTTCAAACCATTATAGCTAGAAAATGCTTTCTCTCTTATAAGGAAAAAAAGAAAGAAAGGAAAGTTATACGCCCCAGGAGAGAAATGTAATACAGAGACCTCACAGTCTCCTGCTCATGGAGCGTTGGAGTGCTGGTTCATCCCCTGTAGCAGGTGGGGATGAATGGAGACAAAGTCTACGTATGTAAACATAGCACACCAAACACATCTCCTCTCCTTGGATATTAAAGCCAGTTGTAAGTGTCAGGCTAAAAAAAATCACAAAAATACTATCAGTTCTGGAAATAAACAGAACGTTGACCAGAAAGAAGCAAGTCTTTAATTATAGAACAAAAACTGCAAGTTCTGAGTGTCAGTCTCCAGACTCTCTACAGAAGAACCGCACACCGGACCTTCCTTTAACTGTAACTTCCGTGCACGGTGACGTTCAGCAGCGCACACACGTGCAGCCACAGAGTTGTTAACGCACAGAGATACCGTGCATGGGTTGGTAAACAGCTGCTCTAGTGAGCTCCCTGAGAACCTCCCCTCCCCAGGACCATCCTGGGCCTCCCCTCGTGGGGGAAAGGGAACCCTGAGGGACGAGCGACATCCTGCTCCTATATTGTCAGCGTGGGAAGAAGTCCACTAAGTGAGGAGAAACGTGAGCAGGAAGCTTACAGCTGCCACACTCCGCCACACTCCCACAAAGCAGAGAGAGGGCTTTCTCCACACCATTAGGAGCCCAAGCACAATGAGGCAGATCTCTGGCTTAGCTAACATGACAAGAAAATAGTCAAACTCCTTGCTTACTGCCCACAGAATAGCCCAAATTCCTTAGCATGAGAAGCACTAGAGCAGCTGTTTACTAACCCATGCACGGTATCTCTGTGTGTTAACAACTCTGTAGCTTACACCACTTACCCCAAATCTGCCTTTTCCAGCCTTCTATTATTTACCTGCTCACCCCATGCTTCAAGAGTGTCTGATGATTATCTAAACACATACTTCACTTTGCTCTAACCTTTGCCAACCTCATTTCCCCCTTAGACTCTCTAACCATCTTCTCTAGCCCATTTCCACACATTAAAATACTTCTTGTCCTTGAGTCCCCAATGAGAATGTCACCTCTTTCATGAAAAGCTCCCTAATCTCCCCAAAATGAATATCTCCCTCCTTTTGTGCTTCCATCTAAACCTCTTATCTGTACTTTGTCTTTTTTAGATGCTTTCATTTGAGAGTCATCTGGTCCAATCTCCTTATTTTATTACATGAGGAAACCGGGAAGTTAAAATGTTAGACAAACTGCCCAAAGTCACATGTTAGGGCATGGCAAATTTAAGACTATATTCTAGATTTTAAGTAAATCCTCAAAATGAAGGACTATATTAGCATCTTCGTTCACGGATAAAGAGCACAAAGCTCAGAAAAGTTAAGTGACTTGTCTGAGAGCACACAGTTGATGAATTCAGGATTCTCCTCCTTCAGGCTCCCCCATCATAGGGGACTGACCACCTGCCTTCTCCAGAGGGCCAGCACTGTTTTCAGCTTATCCTTATGTCTCTACAGGTGCCTGGGACATAGTAAGTGCTGGTCAAAATGTGTTCAATGAAATCAGAGTGGATCTCTCTAAAAACTCCCAGGCACCTATTAAAGGTGGCACCCTGACTCGTCAACCCATCAAGATACTGCAGTAAAGCATTTAAGACTTTTTAAACTCTGCCTTCTACATATCAGACTTTCTCTCCCATAATCCCCCCAGGTGAACCCTCAACTTCAACCCAATCGATACCCCTCCTCACTGCTTTGCCAGCCCTGCCGAACCCCATTTCTGCTGTCTCGGTTTATTCACCTCCAAGCCCAGCTTCGCCTTCCATAAACTTCCCTCGCCCATTCCAAACCAGTCATAAAGCTCTCTCCAACAACTGCAGCACATATGGATCATCTACAAATTTGGATCTGGAGTCTTAAGAGGACTTTCTATCCTTTAGCCTCCCACGGTCCCAAGCCAGTAACCAGGGGCTGTTGTTAGTTTTCACGCAGCTTGACTAAAAGGCAAAAGCGGGAAGCATAGCTTAAGAGGAAGTAGGTTGCTGTTCTGCCCATTCAAATGCTGTTTTGTCCTACCCATAATCACTTGGAATTATAGCTAGTCTAATAACACCTCCAGACCCAGTCAGCCCCACAGAGCAGTTGCCATCTGACAAAATGACAAAGGGATGGCAAAATGACAAAGGGATCCTCCAAAGGGATCCTCCAAAGCTCACTCACAGAATTGGGAGATGCAGCTGGCAGCTCTTCAGCCCAGAAGAGGAAGACAGACTTCTGGTCTGAAGTAACTGCTGAGGTGGTTGGTGTTTCTTTCATGTGACATGGAGCACTGTAACTCCAAATAACAGAGCCAGAGTCCCCATCCACCACCATGATCTGCAAAAGAGAAGATAATGAGTACGGCCTGTCCTCAGAAAGGCAGCACGCCAAGAAAACACACACACGCACGCGCATGCCGAACCACATAGATATTATATTAACAAGTTGAGCTTATTAGATGTGAATAAATTGGGTGTTCAGAGAGCACTAAACAGCAACTAGGGACCAGGACCCAATTTTCTGCAGCCCTGTTCCCATTTCATAGAGTTTAAAGGACTGTAGAATTCTCAGGTGAGAAGGGGAAATTATAAATTATCTAATCCACCTCTTATTTTATAGAGGAGAAGATGGAGGGTCAGAGACAGGAAACAACTTAGGTTGTTCCAGGTTTCTGACAGCCCCTGGACA